AAGAAATTGCAAAGGTGCACTATTTACAGCATTGCATTCTCTGACATTTTATGAACATTTGATGGTAAATTTATAACTCGATATGGTATTCTACGTGTAGAAAAAAGTCTGTACTTTAATTAAATATGAAAATGGTTAAAAAATATTAAAAATATATTCACGGTAGGAAATCGCAGTTAAATGTTAACTTGTACAAAATGTAATATACACTTTGTATATTTATAAAGAAAAAATAAAAAAAGAAAAGAAATAAATTATAAGAAAAATTGTCAAACTTTTTGAATACGTATATAATAAATTACTTGAACTTTTCGTTGTGGTTGAGAGTCATTCACAACTTGGCTTGAATCAAGAGAACGTTCAATTCTATTGTCGGAAAATCGCGTTCGTTTTAGCTGCCAATCTTATGGGAGTACCTTTCGGAGATCGAGAGAACGATTCTCAATAGGTAGACGTTTACCGTCAGGATGAAGTATGTAAGGGAAAGAAAAAATAAAATAGGTGAGAGAAATAGTAAAAGAGAAATGAAAAAGAAAATCGAATAGGACACGCAGTAAATCTAACGACCAATCAAACGGATGAAAAGTCAACGTGATATAAGGACGTTAAAAATTTACTACACAAGTCTACTATACGTGTATATCTACCTATGTCTGTTTGTGTGTGTATATATATATGTATTTGTGTAATATACTATAGAAAGTTACGATATACGTAGAAAAATCATTCACTAAATTCGATTAACTTTCGTACCATTTCTTTCTCTTCACTATTTTACTATTTTACTATCTCGACGACATCAATTTTATTTTTTCCTTTTATTTCTGACGAAATAAGCAAAAAAAAAAGAAAAGAAGGGGTAAAGTATTCGTAATGTCAAAGAAATTTTTATATACGCGGGTTATGTTGAAAAGTTTTGAAGCTTTAGAAAACACAAAAAGAAATAAAATGATGGCAATGGTAAATAAAAAAATAAAAAAGGAAATGGAAGTTTGACCGAAACAAAATTGTTTCTAGCTAGTAACTTTTTAATTCGTCCACGTACACTTATGATTTATTTATTTATTTATTCATTTCTTTTTCGTTTAACTTTGTTTCGTAAAAGTGGATCAAGTAGGGGACGAACGAAATTTCTTTTATCTGAAACCTATTTAAAAATGTTCACTTAGCGTGTTGCATATTTGCAGTTTTGTATTATATTAATACGATATTGTGTTGCGTGAACAACTTTCACTTTAATTACGAATTCACGAAAATTTAGTACGAATCTAAATGAACTTCAATATTTGTTTCTCTCTCTCTCTCTCTATTTTTCGCATTTTTAATATATTTTTTATTTCTTGTATTGTGGGTGAGTGTGGGTGGGTAGCTGAATTGGTAGATAGAAAACAGTGATGCAATCAAGGATTAATACTTCGTTTGAATAAAATATCGATATTTATTTATTTCTATTATTGTTGCGATTAATCTCCAGAGATTTGTTGTTCTTTTTTTTTTAAATAATTCTGATTGTTTCTTTTATTTTTTTTTTGGGTTATTTATATCGTTACTTTGAAATCGAAATGATCAGACGAATCTATTCGTGATAAGTGGGTTAAGGAAAAAGTAATATTGTACAATGAATATTATTTAAACGTTCGAGTACCATTCGTTCATTCGTTTGTTCGAAAGTAGCGCGTTTTAAAGTGATTTATTTACCGAGGAAACAACACTCGGAACGTGCACAAATGAGGAAATAGAATCTCGTTTCCTCTTCCTACAAAATTGTTTCATAGAATTCTATAACTATATCTTTTAATACATTTATATATATATATATATATATAAACAATTTAATTCTCTTCGTTGTCGTAAATCGAACCATTAACAGATTTGTTTTACTTTTTCTTTGTTTTTTTTTTTCTTTAAATTATAAATTCGCAAGAAAATGAAATAACATCTTGTATTCGTTCCAATATTAAATCGTTCCTTTTAAAATAATTTCAATAATACGATTGGATATTTTCACGATAGTCTCCGTCATTCTTTTATTTATCTTTCTTTTATTATTTAAACGTGAGAAAATTTACATTATTTCTATATTATTATATTTTTTTTGTTTACTCATTAAAATGTATTTGTTTTTTTAAACAAATACACAACAAAAAATACTTTCGTGAGAATCTAATTTATTACATTTAATTTGTTTTCTTTTGTTTCTTTTTAGATAAAACTAATAATATATAAAATAAAACAAACAAAATTTGAGACATCAGATACTTTTGCCACACAAGGAAATAGTCAATCGTAGAAGTTACTTAATAGTAATCAGATATTTCCAGATTGAAAAAAATCGTATCTACACTAAAAGTTCCTATACTAAAAGTTCCTATACTATGACTTACAGGGTATCTGATTTCTAATGATCAGAAAAGATGTTACATCCTTTTTCTTCATTTTCTTTTTCTTTTCTTTTTCTCATCTTCATCTATTCACGTTAGAACTATTTTCTTTTTTATTTCTTCTTCTTCTTCTTCTTCTTCTTCTGCTACCACTAATGCGCTTTTTAGATAGCACCTTGAAACACTAGATCTTACAGAATAATTTTTTTTTTCCTACCCTGAATCGTGCACTTTCAGAATCTTTTAGCACTTTTCTATCGTTGAAAGAAAAGTGCTGTGGCTATTATCATTTGTAAAAGATCTTGGGGTTGTAATTTCTATAAAAATCGAAGATATTTCCTTTCTTTCTTTCTTTCTTTCTTTTTATTCTTTTTATTATTTTATCTTGTACGTTCAATGACACGAATGAAACATTTATTGGCATTGAAATATCCAAAAAATTGTCTGCAAAAGGAAAAGAAATCTACGAGATCATCAATTCAATTTCTTTTCGTTAATATTTCCTAAACAATTATCTTATTGTTCTTGTATTTTTATTGAAATAAATTGAATTAACTTGTTAAAAACAATTCGATGGGAAACAACCTTGTTTAGAAAACTTTATTCGTTTTTCTTATTAACTTATTTAGTTTAGAAAAGTTTGCAAATTTTTATAACAATTTTCTATCTTCCATTCTTTCTTTGTTTCTCTCTCTCTCTTTTTTTTTTCTTTTTCTTTTTTTGTTATTCGATACTCGAACTACTATTTTGTCCTCATGTTAGAAAAGTTTTCCAAACTTTCTTACATGTACGTCGTCTTTTGTATTAAAATTCCATACGCGAAAGTTGGAAGTTTTATTTATTTTCTTACACACATACACACAGAAACACATACATAAATACACACACAGTCAGATATATATATATATGTATATATTTGCGTGTGCATGTGTATGTTCTGTAGAAATTCGATTTATCGACATACAACGCCACGATTGTTTATTTCTTTTTCTTTGGTAGACTAAGAGAAGAATTTTCGTGGCAGGTGTGCCCATCCAACAAATCCCGATGGATCGGGATATTCGAACTGAGGGATAAATAAAAGAAAAGAAAAAAAAAAAATAAAGCGGGCAGATAATATAGGAGATATATCTTCTTGGAAAACTAAATTTTCAACGTTGGTCAAAGTCTCTACGAAAAGGAGAAGAAAATGGTAAATAATTTCTATCACTCACTCTTCCCTTTTTTTCGGTTTTCTTTTTTATTTTTTATTTTTCGCGAGTAGAGAAAAAAATCTGCACAACGAGAAGTTAGATAGAAAATTTTAGGGATAGTTATTAGATAAATTATTCAATTTTTTAAAAGGACAAAATATTTTTCGATAAATTAATAATTAAATCCCTCACGAAGATCAATGTTTTATTTATTAAAAGAAAAAAAATTAATTATAATAATATAATAATTAATATATAATAATTGATTATATATAAATCAATTCGAGATTAATTTATTATGTTCAAACTCAATTTAATTCTAACACATTTTTTTGTTGGATAAAAATTACGGATTTTATTCTTATTTTTTATTATTATATATGTGTCTTATTACAATTTGATATATTTATAATATTCAAACTCGATTTAATTGTAACACATTTTTTTATTATTATATATGTGTCTTATTACAATTTGATTAATTTATAATATTCAAACTCAATTTAATTGTAAGATTTTTTTTGTTGTATAAAAATTACGGATTTTATTTTTATTTTTTATTATTATATATATGTGTCTTATTACAATATAATTAATTTATTATATTTAAACTCGATTTAATTGTAACACATTTTTTGTTAGATAAAAATGAATTATCTTTGAAGTTCGATTTTTTTAAATTGGGGAAGAATGACGGGAATATAAAAATATGTCGAAGGGAGAACCACGGATTGAACAAATTGTTCATTTTCTTTTTGTTTTCCTTGTTCTTTTTACGATTTTGCACGTTTTATCGGCTTAACGACGATGGTACGCGTTAAGTTGAGATATGTAGTATTATAAAAAAGTTTGCTAAAACGGTAGGTAGTAGTTTGGGTGTAGATCATAAATTTCCTTCTATTTGAACAAAGATAAAATGAATGCATGTAAAGTTTAAGGTTTATGGTGATGTTACAGGGAGGAAAGTAAAGTGTCGGAAAAGAAATACATACATGAATTTCAAATAGACTGAAAATGAAATACTTCAGTTTATATATTAAGTATGCTTCATTAAGATCACATTAACTATAATAAATTAAAACAGAGTAGACTCAATTGAGAAATAATTGAAATCTAATTCGATCCTCGAATAATTGAACTCTTTTTAACGAAATATTTCATTACAAAAATGTACAACAATTTCGTACAAATAAATAAAAAGAAAGATTTATTGATCTTATTTTTTAACACTGTTTCATTTAAACAATGACCATTTTATCGGAACACTTATATATTATCTTGACAATTAAATTTTTTAATTTAAATATAATTAAATTACACAATAAATAATTATACAATTAATTTCTAATTGAAATAATGTTCATTTATATATTTTTCGATGATTTATTAAGAATCCTGAGCTACTGCAACCTATTAAAAATTATGCTCAAATCAACGATGCTTGCAGAAAATTATAAAATCATAAAAATCATTATCAAAAGTGTTGGTAATGACTTTGATATTGAAAATAGCCAATGAAAATTATCCAAATGATTTGAATGTTCGCTTATTATGGGACTTTTGCTTAATTATGATTATTATTATGCAGTTGGCAGGAGAAATTCGGTTTCGTTCGGTATTATCACTAAATCCGATTAACATCGAGTTTCATTGATAAATCGATTTGGAAATAGGTGAAGCTAGGTTATCTATTCACAGGGCCTAGATCCGTTTTAATATTAATCATTGGTGCCTAGCTTTGGTCAACGATAGGTATAACACATAACAACGAACGTGTACCTTTAAACGATTTATCGGTATCGAGAATATGTATATCGAAACACCTTTATTAAGTATGCTAGTTTCGCAAACAGGTATTGACGTTGTTAAGTCATTTATTTCTTGGATACTAATACCATCCTGTAGATATATTCGATATTATTCACGAAGAACAACGTATTTCAATTTCGAAAAGGGACAAAGGTTGGTATAATCGAATTAAAGGGCTCACATGGACAAATATAATTTGTCCATTTCGTATACTGGACACGTATAATAAAAAAAACTTGTGTTCTATTCGAAAAGAATACGTGATAGTATTTTTTGAAAGGAATATTGATATTTATTTCTTTAACTATTTTCTTTTTGTTTAATATTAAATATTGTTTGGAGATATAGTAATTTTTATATTATATTATATTATTATTATTAGTATTATATATTATATATATAGTAATTATTATATTATTATTATTATAATTATAATTATTGTAATAAAATCGAAATCATTTCTGTAGGGAGAATAAAATATTGTATTTGTTAAATATAAGTTGCTAATGCTGAAATATATTTGTTTTCATTCGATTCATGCTCGCGTGAAATTTCATTGCTATTTTAATATAAAGGAATTAATCCTTGTATGTATTTGTGTGTGTTGTTAATTAATTTACAATTTTTATTATTTTTTTTTTGCCCGATCCAGATGAAATTTGATTTATGTTTCAACCGAATTCCCACTGATATCTTTAATTAATGAATAAAATGATTAAAGATTAATTCTCAAACCAGAGAGTGGACAAATTCTACATAGAAAATATTAAATTCGTATAATCACAATTCGCTGAAATATTTCTACACGCTTATAATTTCTAATAAAACAACAATCGAATTTTTTGTTTGTTAGAGTAATGATGTTATGTGTTTGACTGAATAATATAATATAATGATGCATAATTATGCAATGAAAAAGCATTTGACGATTATGTATGATTTAATATAAAATATTTGACACGTAAAATTCGAAACGAAATTTCAAAAACATGTGGGCATTAAATGTGTTAAATGGGTTTAAAGTTTTATTGTATTTCGGAGTTAGGTGAAAACCGGAACAAGTGTAACAATGATTCCTCTCAGGAGAAACATTTATCGTTAACTCACAGACAGAATGACGTGAATAACTATAGCAAGAGAATAACGTGATGAATATCATCCTACGAGTATCGATAAAAGGAAATTGCAAAGGGTGTTTTCACGGTTTTGGATTGTTGCCAAAAATACGAGCTTACGATGTACATATGGGTGCATAAGAGAACCCATCAAAGACACCACCCTATCATCATTCTATTCGCTACCTCTCTTACCATTGTATTCTCCAATAACAAGCAGAGATCACCCAACGATTCGAACTTTTATTTTTCTTCTGAAAAAAAGTATGGATAAGGGATGAAAATAAAGTATATAAAAGTGTGGAAAAGAGTAAGAATAAAATAGAAATATTATTTAATTTATATATAAGATCTTTTTTTTTTGCATACTTTGTATATATTTCATTTTATATTATTTTATAATTTAATTGATAAATAAATGTATTTTATATTTATATGAATTCGAGAAAAATTGTATAAATTAGTATAGAAATAAAAATAAAAGCAACGATTATTAAAGATTACAATGATCATTTTAACAAGTGTTAGAATTATTTCATTGTAATTTAAATATTATATATTACAAATATTATTAAAATTTCTTAATAGATATGTACATAATCTTGACCAACATTTAATCAATCATATATATTATAATATAAACATTTTATATATAATATAATAAATAAATTTGAGAGATGAGACAAATTTCAATGAAATCTAAAATGTTAAAATACGATATAAATAACAACATATGAAATATACGTACATACGATTAACCAAATATATTATAATGTATAAAAAATATTTTTCTAAGATTAAAAAATCAAAAAATGATAAAAAAATGATAGAACGTGTTGTGTGAAAATGAGCGAGAAGGAAGATAAGGGAAGAACCGCGTGCGCCGAATACCGATCGATCTCGCGACAAAATTTTCTGGGGACCATGATGATGACAATACTGTTCTATTCGTACACCTAACGAATGTGTCGTGTTAGTATATATGTTAGTCTATGTAAAATAGTGAGAGAAACTCGCGGAAATGTTGGACAAGGCTTGCGTGATTGGCCTATACCCGGAGATAAGCGGTTTTACCGTATCGAGATTTGCCGGCTTTCAAAATTATATTCAAGTTAGAAATTTCAAAGATTAAATTTAGTTTCTAGGAATCTCTATTATTACTATACTAAACGTTCATTCATTTGAGAATGATTTTAATATTATACGGATGGATAATTACGTACGAGAAACAATAGAAACAGATACATTAAATTAAATAATATTTTTTTATACGATTAAACGATTAATTTTACAGGTATTCCACCCCCAACTCGAATTCTAGATTATAAAATGAATCCTCTTTGACAATAATTGATTGGAAAAGTTGACAAATATTTTGCTAATTAAATATTCGCAATAATTAGACCCTTTATTTCTTTTTTATTATTATTTAACGTAAAATATATAATTATCTATAATATATGACAATAGGATGGAAGGTAAATAAGTGTTAAACATTTATCGAAATAATATATACAATAATTTAATATCGAATATAAATTTTAATAAAGTAATATCAATAATTTAATTATTAACAAACCTTAGGAAACGTTTAAAAAAGAAATAATTATTTCAACAATTAATTTATTTAATATACTTAAATATTAATATAATAATATTAACTATCATAGAAAAGTTTAAAAATATATCTTAGATTAGCATAATGTTAAGTAAAGTATAGTAATACGAGTAGTTGTAAGAAAATAGACAGAGACACAGATAGAAGAAGAAGAAGTATGTAAATGAGGTTAAAATGATGATGATGATGGTGGTGATGATGGTGGTTCTGAAGTAAGGATTTTCTGAAGTATTATTCGCAGACAGAAAGGGTCGATTCGTGATGATACATTTATGGGATGATAAAGATGTAGTAGGAAGGGGGAGATTCATGATAATGAATCTTCTCATGACTTGATAACACAACCGGTCTTGTCAGTGTGCACATGACAGTGCCGATTGCGGTGTAGGAACGATGAACGTGCCATTTACACAACCAAATGTAGGTTAATCGTCCCATAACACCTCCCACCACCCTA